GGCAATATACCTGATGTAATGAAAAGGAAAAGAAAAAGACAAGGCTACAACAGATAAAAGACCTCAGGAATGTACATCTAATTGACACTACATTGCATTAATCAGTGGCTGCACTTTTTGCAAACTGTGGCTGTGACAGTCCTGAACAAGTAGTTTCCTGTTTAAGCTGCAGTAACTTTTCTGACTATGGATCATTGTTCCTTCTGTGGCAGATTTTTATAGTTCCTCTAATGCACTTGGGATGACTGTCTCAAAGTAACCTGAAGCTTTCCTGACAACTCCTCGCTCTCCTGCTAAGAACTGTAGCCCTTTTCCACTGTTTTTAGAATCTTCTACCATATCCACCACTTCTACCACTAGATCCATAACCACCACCATAGGGACTGCCCGAGCTTCTTCCACCAAAACTAACCCCCTTCGTGGGTCCATAATTTGACTACTGTTATCCACTATGATTTCCAAAATCATTATAGTTCCTACCACCACCATAGTTATTACCGCCAAAATTTCCTCCTTCATTGTAACCATCATATCCTCCACCACTGCTACCATATCTACCACCACTATAGCTTCCTCTACTACTACAACCAGGACCACCACCATAGTTGCCACCCTTATCTCCAAATCCATTATACCCACCATCACCTTCTGCATAACTACCTCGGCTGCCACCACCTCCATCACCATAGCCTCCTCTTCCACCAAAGTTTCTACCATGGCCAAAATTATCTCCACCACCTCCAAAATTTCCTCCATGACCCATAAAATTGCCAGCTCCACCGCCACGACATCTTTGTGATCCAGCAGACTGCATCTCTTGTTTAGAAAAAGCTTTTTTCACTTCACAATTATGCCCATTAATAATGTGGTGTTTCTGAACAACAATTTTATCAACTGTATCATGATCATCAAAAGTTACAAAAGTAAATTCTCTCTTTTCCATTCTGCCTGTCTTCCATAACTTCTATGGTTTCAATGTTGCCATACTTTTCTTTTCTTTTTTTTTTTTTGTCTTTTGTCTTTTTTCCGTGTCTGGCAACGGATCGCAACCCTCAGTGTTGCCCCCGTACCGGACCGGGGACCGGCAACGGGATTGCAACCCTCGGTGTTGCTCCCGCGCCTCGCTCAGCCAGTGAGCGGGAACCGGTCTGTATGTGGGATCTGAACCCTCGGGCGGGAGCGCCGCCGCGCTTCCCAAGTGGCGCACTATCCAGTGCGCAACTGGGCTGGCCCGCAATGTTGCCATACTTTTCAAAGTAGTCTCTCAAATTATATTCTTTTATATCTTCTTTAATATCACCAACAAAAATTTTCTTCACTGTTAGATGGGTGCCAGGCTTTCCAGAATCCTCTCTAGAAACAGCTCTCTTTTGTTTCACTACGCACCCATCAACCTTGTGTGGTTGAGCACACATTGCTGCATCCATCTCTTTAACACAAGAATAAGTCACAGAACCAAAGCCCCTGGAATGCTTTGTTTGAGGGTCTCTCATTACCACACAGTGTGTGAGTGTGCCCCATTTCTCAAAATGTTCTCTTAAACTATCTGTAACTTCAAAGCTCAGACCACCAATAAACAGTTTTCTCAACTGCTCTGGTTCCTTTGGATTATGGCCCTCACCTCCCTCCTCACTGTGGTGGCGGTGGCGGCGGTGGCATCGGTGGTGGCGGCTGGAGTCAGGCTGGGGGCGACCAGGCAGCAGTTTTACCTCCATTTTGAGACTGGACTCGCCTCTTCCAACTCGAGTTCAATATGGGTGGTGGTTCTTTTTAATCTTTGCTCTATGGTGTGATCAAAAGTACCTAAAAACTTTGGGTAGGAAACTTAGAGAGTTTTCTGTATTATGGATCTACTATACTGTTTTTTTAAAAGGAGAAAAAGGACAAATATAGAGATGTAATTGTTTAATTTAGTAATAAAAAAACACGTAGGCTAACTCTAAACATGAGTTAAAATAATATTTACAGCTGCCCCTTAAAAGCTTTGTCTTTGGTCTATGTGAGGTGTCCAAAATAAGGGAGAGGATAATCATATATCTGGAAATACTGTACTCATTATTTGGCACTATTTTGATAAATTGTGATGTATCCAGAGAAACATTATCAGGATGGAGAAGGCACTTAAAATTATAAGAGGAGTGACAGAAAAACCTGGGAGATATTTAGCCTGATGGGTAAGCTTAGATGTGATTTAAGAAATCATTATAAACAATTGGAAGGTTATCATATAGAAAAGTGTAGATGAGGGTAGAAGATGCCAACTAACATTTATTGAACCTTGTTCAATACTACATCTAGCATTGTGCTTGACGTTTTCTGTATGTTTCATTTATTTGTTGTAGTCTTACATGGTAAGGAATTTGTGTGTGTGTTCAACAGAGGAACAAGCTCAGAAAGGTAAAGTAACTAGCCGAAGATCACTGAGCCAGTAAGTGTCCAAATATTCAAACACTTGGTCTGACTCCAAAGCCATTTTGTTTAGGAAACAACAGAAGACAGATTTGGATGCATGTTATGAAGAATTTTCTAAAAATATAATGGATTTTCTCATGAGGTAGTATGTTTCCTGTCATTTGGAGGTATTTAAGGAGAGGCTGGATTATCACTTGGCAGTGGGTCTGTGTGTGTGTGTTGTCAGGAAAGGAAGTATTGAATTTAAGGTTGGTCTTTTAAAATCCTATAATTATAGGAGGGCAGAAAAAGTTGTTCAATGGCTGTTGAGCATGTTGTGTTGTGCATGGAGAAGCTGGGAAAACAAAAGCTTTAAAGACATGGTGCCTAGCCTGTGTGAGTTTACAGTTTAGTTGTTGCTTTTTACTATAGAAAGATATCAATTTTTCATTTCTCTCAGATAGAAGCTTCATTTATTATAGTCTTCTGAATTTCTCTTCAGTAGAATCTGGTTTTCAATCTGTGTCAAAATTAGCACTAAAGAATGGTATTGCTAGACTTTGTTTTTGGGATGGCCTTTGAGGGACTGGGAGTTTGGAATGGTTATGGTGAAACTGGTCTAGAGGCTGTAGTGGGGACCAAATGATGCCTCCATTATAGTTGACCCAATTAATGAAGTGATTATGTAATTTAAAAAAAATACAGTATCCATACATTACAAATATCCCTTCATTGGCTGGGTATGTACCTGGAATATTGTTTATAGTCTGGTAAGTAATTAATATGATAGATAGGAGAGAGCTTGGATAAATAAAAATTTGAAATGGACAGAACTTGGGCTTCTGTGTGAGAAAGGATTAAAAAAAGACTTCTTAAGTTGGGGAAGACATGACTAAAATATTAACATGGATGAGGGTAATCAATAATTTATCCACTAGTTTAGGAATCAGACGAATAGTATGATGCTCAAAAGAGGTAATTTTAGGGTAAGTCAAAGAAGCTGTACAGGTGATTTCAGATTTTTTGTCACCAATATAAGTACAGGTAGAGGAAAAAATAGTGATTTAAGAGTATTAGTATTTTTTGGGGAAAAAGAGGTCAGAAAACTAAGCTGTGGAGGGGCGGGTAGAAATATGAGGGTACTTCAAAAAGTTCATAGAAAAATGGAAAGATAATAGGAATCTGAACTTTTTGAAGTACCTTTGTATAGTTTGAAAATATGTCTTTATATTAGTTTTATATTTGGAAACAACCCAGGGTTATTTTCCTTTTTAAATAAACTACAGAAAGGATGAGAAAATTTTATGCTAAAGAAAAGGGGACATAATTTAAAGATGGAGAAATATCAAGATAGATAAACTCGCGAGTGGCAGATTCATTGAGTTGGGAATAAGGGAAATACAAGCGGTGCAAGATATATTTTCTACCTTGAGGTTGAGATAACTGTATCTTCTCTTGAGTACCATATTGATTGTATTTAACATCTTCCAGCTTTTAGGGAATGACTTTGGTCTTAATCTCTTCTATTTAGGAAACATAATTAAATAACAATCTGTTAAAATGAGACTTTTGAGAGATTTTAAAATTGGTCCTGTAATCAATTTCTTTGTCTTTGAGAAGACCAATTTGAAAAATAGTTATTTTTTTTTAGCACCATATTCAGGATAGTAGGTCTTAAATATTATATAATAAAAGAATTTCATAACTTTTATTACATAAAATGTTTGGTTACATGTATCTTCGACCTAGATTCAGCTGTTTTTAATGTTTTGCCATTTAGGTTTTTATCTATGTCTGTATATTTATACATACTTTTTCCCCCTAAACCATTTGAAGGTAAATTGAGACATCATGGCACTTCATCCCTAAATGTCTCAGCATTCCTAAGAATAAAGATATTCTTTCACAAAAACATTACCATTTTCATATTTTAGGCAATAATTCTGTTATGTAAATCTAATATCCTGGCTGTATTAAAATTTCTACAATTGTCCCTGGTAAGTTTTCTACAGCAATTATTGTCTATAATAAAACGAAGTCTTACATATTGCATTTGGTTGTTGTGTCTTTTTAGTCTCAGTCTAGAATCTTCCTTCCACTATTTTTTGACACTAACTTTTTGAAGAGTCCAGATCAATGCAGTTTTCTTGTTGCCCTTTATTTTACTTTTGCCAGCTGATTTCTAAGAATCAACTGAAACAACTATCTTAATTATATCTTGCAGTTTATTATTGTCTAATTATTTTGAGAATTAAACATGTTATACTTTAAATGTATGCTCTAAATTAGGTATTTAGATATTATTTAGAGCTCTCTTTCTACCCTCCAGTTATACTTAAGGGTTTAATGATGATAATGTACATTTGTTGAGTTTCACTTACACAATCTCATTTATTAATGTATCTTAAGAGAGTGCTGGTTTACATAGTGTACAGTGAGAATGATTCATTTAAAACTTATTGGCATGTAATGAATATCTATTTAACTGTAGAAAAGACTAAGCATAAGCAATTCAAATGAGAGTCCAAGGATTGATTAGTATTTGCAAAGGACTGAATTTGTTGGATTTGACAATAATATAAGAGTACTCTTGGTTACTTTATATACTTAAATCAGTTTCTTTCTTTAAATTCTGACGTAATTTTTTATTGGCAGGGCAGTCTATTTGTTATATTTTCCCGACAGTATTTATAATAAAAATTGGTGAGTCTTTTAAAATAGCCTTAAAGAAATATAGTTTTCTTAGAATGATTGTTAACTTTAATGGTAAAACATTATTGCTTTCCAATTAGTTTGTTTGTAGGAGAAAAATTTTTATTTAATAAATTTCCTTTTGTGTATGGATTGTTCATGGAAGTCGTGTCTGAAGTGGTGATGCAAGAGAAGTGCCCAGTGGCATTTGTAAATGTAGATCTTTGTCTTAATAGAACTTGAACAAGTAAATGAGAGCTATTTGCATTTTCAAAGTAATTTTAATAGATATTATATTTTAAAATAAACGTTAAGAACATATATTTTGAGACATCCTGCTGGGCATAGTCAAAGATACACAACACTCCATAGGAGCCCTTGGAGGGCTTGCATTTTTGAGTCAGCAAAATTGGTACTTTGTATAAATTTAAGTTGCCATGTGTAAGTTTAAGTTATAGAGGGGCTAGAAAAGCAATTAAACAAGAACAAAAGATGATATAAATTTACTTACTATGTAACAGGAAAAGTTAACTATATAATATTTATATTAAGGAAAAAATTTTAAGTGGGAATTTTGCTCATTTTGACTGCTTGAGATTTTATTTTATGGAGGTAACACTATGAAATTATGAATATTAAATATATTTCCAATCATAGCATGCCCTGTGTATCTGCTGAATTTTTCCTGAGATTTCCTTGAAGTTGAAATAAGTTATAAATAACTTTTTTGTACTTATTGAAATAGAATGTTCCCTTTTTAGAAATTAAGATTCTCAAGCCAAACATTTAATTGATTTATTTTATTCTCAGGTCCTTTTGCCAATTTGTGAATTGTAGTTTGGTTTGGGATTTTTAAAAAATATTTGCTTTTTAATGCAGAGTTGAATTTACTAAAAGATGCAATTTAGACTTTTAAAGTTTTTAACAAGAAATTATTTTCTCCTGCTAGGAGGCAGGCGGAAGTCATCATAAAGTTTCTGTTTCACCCGTTGTCCATGTTCGAGGACTCTGTGAATCTGTAGTAGAGGCAGACCTTGTGGAGGCTCTGGAAAAATTTGGGACAATATGGTAAGGACATGCAGCTTGAAGAAAGTTTGGTAGAACAAGCCTTGATTGCTTGCCACAAGCATTGATGTTTAACATAGTGTATATTAAGTTTGCCTATGACTGTATTTCTTTGGAACCTTTTAAGACTGTTATTTTTAACCTTCCTGGGGTGATGCATGTATGTATTTTTGTGGCTCTATAATTATCACCTCTCACTCTCAAAGTTGTATGTAAAATTATGTGCATTTTTCATCTGCTTTTCAAATGGATGATTCCTTTCAAATACTACTTTAAACCAAGTGAGTTGATTATACCCTTCATCTTCAGAATTTCAAGTAGTGGTACTTAAATACTGATTTTTTTTTGTTTATTTTGGAATATTTAGGAATTATTGGCAACTAAAAGTGGGTAGATTAAAGGCAGACTTACTTGCTTAGGTGTGTATTGCTAAGAATTCTTAATGCAGATCTCAAGCAATCATTGTTTTATTCTATCTTGTCTTTTTTGTGATTTGTATTTTCTCAGGCTCCTCCTTTCTCTTTGTACAGCTGGTGTATGCTTGAGAATATGAACTTAAGTTAAAATATAATTATAAAAGTGATTCTGCTGCCAAAAGTAGATATTCAAAAATTCTAAATTACTTTGAACTATACCTAGCTGTTCTCTTCAACAGATTAGATGTATGGGTAATCTAGAGTTGATTTTATTATTATCGTTTTCTTGATGAATATATTTGGGATTTTTTGTTATAGGCATCCAAGACAGAGACCAGGTTCAAAAATAAAAATAGGAGAGGGCCGGCCCGGTGGCACGCTGGATAGTGCACCGCTTGGGAAGCGCGGGAGGGTTGCGATCCGTTGCCGGACACGGAAAAAAGACAAAAGACAAAAAAATAAAAATAAATAAAAATAAATAAAAATAAAAATAGGAGAGAAAATTCAGTGTATTTGCTGAGATAGCTTGATTGCTTCAATTGTATAAAAATTCATGTTAAATTTTTAAGTATTGAAAGGCTAATGCATAAATAGTGAGGAAATGATCAGAGATGCCTAACAGAAATGGATCATTCTTTCAACAGAGTAGAAATAGTGTTTGGTGACACCTACCATCATGCCATCATTTTATTAATTTCTTTGGTAACCTCATTGAGAGGTGGATTACTTAAACCTGTTAGGCTCAACTTATGTTCTTCATAAACCACTGTTACACATTGTTTATCTTTGGAGGTACAAATTGAGAAATCACATGGGCATGGTAAAGCTCATATGTTGAAGTATCACTAAGAGGACTATATCAGTTCTCAGTCATTTGGAGTGAATATTGGAAGTTGTCTGGAGAGTTATATATTGAAGCAGACTGTTGTCTTATGTGTTGGCCCTAGACTAACCCCAGTCTGTGTAAGGGCCTTCTAATGTTATATAAATGGTGCATTGTTCCATGGATCTATAAAGAGATGTCTGTCTTGGTTTATTTTTCCTCTGTTCTTATATATTTAGAGCTTTTAAAATTATTTTTTCTTATAGTGAAGAAATACTGAGGCAAATGTCAGGAAACAAGTTGATGAGCAAATGTAGTTGGAAGCTTTAGAGAAACAATAACTATTTTGATAGTTTGGTATTAACTAGTACTATGACCTGAATATTGGGGGTTAAAGAAATAGAACTATGTAAGTTGGTTAGTAATTTGAATTACTCCTGGGTGGCCCGCACATTTTTAGACTTTAGACTGTTTGATACTTAGTCCATGGTGAGGTCTTCCATATATGAATGTTGTTCAGTTAATTTGCAAAGTATATCATTCTGCTACCAAGATTGGTAGTTACAGGTATAGAAAAGTCATGAAATGATTGGAACAAATTAGTGAATAATTAAGAGCTTAGTTTGCATAAATAAGTATAATAGGAGTTTCAGTTGTATGAAATGATCTTGAATAAGAGGTGGCTGCTGTCAAAGCTGAAAGAACGTGGAACAGCCTCCAATCAGGAGTAGAAGTTTTGCTTCAAAATGTTACATTTATGGAACCTTTCTCTGTTTGTTTCTTTCATGTATTTATCTTTTTAGTGGTATGTGTGAGATTGTAAAGATCACAGAAACTGCTCATATTAACAGTGTATCACCAAGTTCAGGTGTATAGTAAGTTTATACCTGAAAACTAAATGCATAGGACAGAAGTTCAGCAGAAAATATAACATGATGTTAAGAATGATTGTGTCAGGATAATAAAATTGCTGTTTTTTGCCTTTTTGTCTTTATTCTGTAGTATATTTATATATTATAATCAAAAGAATATTTAAAAATATATATTGTATCTTTGTCTCCCTTCTCCCCTCCCATTAAAGGAGATATTAGGTGATGATTAGCGATACTAGTTTTAAAACAAAACTTTCGGGACCCAGTTTGTGCACTAAATTTGCTGTCTTCTGCTTTGTTTTTATTTTAAAATTGGTAAACATTTTTTAAGCTATGGAGTTGAAAGCAATGACCCTACCACATTCCTCAGTCTTTTTTCTGTCTTTCATCTTCCATTCTCATATTAATGCTTTTTAAAGATTAAAAAAAAAAAAACATGCATCAGTTTAAGCACATGCTAAAATGTCTGCGACATTTAAATTTTTCCCTTCTCTTATTTTCATATAATGCCCCTTTTCTGAGTAACCTTTTTCTTTTTTTTTTTTTTTTTTGTCTTTTGTCTTTTTCCGTGTCTGGCAACGGATCGCAACCCTCAGTGTTGCTCCCGCGCCTCGCTCAGCCAGTGAGCGGGAACCGGTCTGTATGTGGGATCCGAACCCTCGGGTGGGAGTGCTGCCGCACTTCCCAAGCGGCGCACTATCCAGTGCGCCACTGGGCCGGCCCTGAGTAACCTTTTTTTTTTTTTTTGTCTTTTGTCTTTTTCCGTGTCCGGCAACGGATCGCAACCCTCAGTGTTGCTCCCGCGCCTCGCTCAGCCAGTGAGCGGGAACCGGTCTGTATGTGGGATCCGAACCCTCGGGTGGGAGTGCTGCCGCACTTCCCAAGCGGCGCACTATCCAGTGCGCCACTGGGCCGGCCCTGAGTAACCTTTTTTTTTTTTTTTGTCTTTTGTCTTTTTCCGTGTCCGGCAACGGATCGCAACCCTCAGTGTTGCTCCCGCGCCTCGCTCAGCCAGTGAGCGGGAACCGGTCTGTATGTGGGATCCGAACCCTCGGGTGGGAGCGCTGCCGCACTTCCCAAGCGGCGCACTATCCAGTGCGCCACTGGGCCGGCCCTGAGTAACCTTTTTCACTTTTAAGTTTGTGCTTCTAGCTTACTTATTTTAGTATAGGAAGCAATTTTACCATGACCAAGCCCATAATAGGCCAATAAATAATTTTTGTACTTTTGTAATTTTTCTGTTTCCAAAAGGTATTGTTGACATACCTACTTGATAATATCATTTAGATATTGAATCAACGTTTTTGTTTTGTGAGAGATCATTCATTCTTCTTGAATTTCGTTAGGATAGACACGAGTGGAAGTTTTCTGTTTTTTATATGAAAGACTACAACTTCAGTGAGGAGTCTCTGTCTCCAAAAAAGATGTTTTCTCTCCTGGGATTTATGTCTTGCATTTACAGTTGGTAAATCTTTAAATCCAAGCCTTTATTATTTCTATATTTACTTCTTTAATTTTGGGTGGGAAGAGCTACCAAGCCTCCTAGACCAACAAATGTTGAGTATCTGGCTATGTGCTAGACAGACTCTGTTTCTAGCTCCTGAAAGTATGAAGATGAATGAGTTAAGGCCTACAGAAAATACAGTAATAGTTACTTTTTATTGAGGGCCTGTAGTGTGCCTGCAGCCAGGCACTCTGCTAAGCAGTTTGTGTTTAGTAACTCTGGTCTTGACAATAATTCTCCAAATTTTATAAGTATAATAATTTGCCAGGCTGTAAGTTAGTCTGTTTCTTACTAATACTGTACCATTTTGTCAGTTTCTAACGTGTAGCAGTAGATTGTGGAAGCCTGATTGAGAAACAGTAATGTCACTGAGTACCTGACCTGTTGTGATTTCTCCGGCCTTCTGCTATCATAAAAACCATGTTAATTGTATTTTTAAAACATTTTTAAGGTTCTTAAAAATAACAGACATTTTGTTTCCTCTGTTGTGATCCACGTGCCATGATTGATTTCTCTCTTCTCTCCCTTCTTTTTTTTTCATTTTGTGTATTAAAATATATTTCCCCTAAAAAGAGTATATTGTGAAAAGTAAACACCTCACCCTCCTTCCCATAGGCAACCATGATTATCTAGTCTAGTGAATATGAATTCCTTAATATTTAAAAATATTTTGGAGGGCTAGCCGGTTACCTTAGTTGGTTAGAGCGTGGTGTTGATAACACCAAAGTCAAGGGTTCAGATTGTCATACCAGCCAGCCACCAAAAAAGAAAAAAATTTTGGAGATTATTTATATGAATTTTGGTCAGTCTATAGTTGCTTCTATTTATCTTTTGGTTGTTTATTTTTAATAAGATAAATAAAAGTATAGTCAGTTCTTAGTTATTAGTATGGGCACATATTTGGAAAATTCAAGAGAGGTAGTAATTTCTGCTGTTTAAGTAGGGGTTCTGTCTGCCAATCTTTTGTTGAGTTTTATCTCTGTTGGTTTTTGTATTTTGATATTTTCTAATACAGCTTGGGAGTAGCAGCCTGAAAAATAAACTAGGTGGTATCATTAGTGACTGATAACAGGAAATTGTGTTTGAGGAGGGCATGAGGCGGATAAGCTTTAAATCACAGGGAAATAAGCTTTCCAATGTTTACTGTCTACCTGGTAAACCACAGTCTGTTTAATTTTATATGATTTAAGAGTTGACTTCCATTGGATGTAGGCAGTGAAGAATACTAATCTGTATGATTTGACACATTTTCATTAGTCTGCTTTTACTTGATTGAGAACAAATAATGTTAATTGAACTTGTTATATTTGGGTATTCCTCCTACTCTCACTTTCCAGCTATGTGATGATGATGCCATTTAAACGGCAGGCTTTAGTGGAATTTGAAAACATAGATAGTGCCAAAGAATGTGTGACGTTTGCTGCGGATGAACCCGTGTACATTGCTGGTCAACAGGCCTTTTTTAACTACTCTACAAGCAAAAGGATCACTCGACCAGGAAATACTGATGATCCATCAGGAGGCAACAAAGTTCTTCTGCTATCAATTCAGAATCCTCTTTATCCAATTACGGTGGTATGTATTTCAATATGACAAATTACATTAAAATGATTTTGCAGTTAGCTTCTGGAGTGACTAACAAGTTTTTTTCACTGCTATCTAGATATTTGAAAATTGTTTTTTTAGGTGTTAAAATTAATCTTAATTTTGACTATCAAGTTTAATGAACAAAGAAAAAGTGGTGAGAGTACTGAAGCTAAAAAGATTAGAAGCATAGTTGTCATAATTAAATAGCACATAAAAATTTTTTATTTACCATTAGTATCAATTCTGTTACTGATAATAAAGGATTATAGACAGATTTGTTGGAAACGGTCCAAGAAATCTCTCACTCATATGCCAGCATACGTATAAGTGAATCTACTAGGTAGTGACAGAATCCCATAGTATAGTAAGATGCACATATCATTATAAACTGTTTTGAGTTAGGTTGTTAAAAACTTGTCTTTGATTTATTTAAAACTCCCTGCTTCTTTACCCATTTAAAAAGTGATAGTAGAAAAGTTTTTTTTTTTTTTTTTGTCCTTTTTGAGACTGGCCGCACTGCGCTCAACCAGTGAGCACACTGGCCATCCCTATATAGGATCCTGTGCTCCCAGCGCACTCTCCCGAGTGCGCCACGGGCTCGGCCCATAGTAGAAAAGTTTTAAAGAGGACTTATGTCCTGAGCCAGTTGAATTTTCTGTTTCATAATCTCATGCTGTTTCATAATAAGCTAGTGACAAAGACATTGATTTTTTTTTTTTTTCTTTTTGTCTTTTTTCATGACCGGCAATGGATCGCAACCCTCAGTGTCGCGCCTGTACCGGCCCGGGACCGGCAACGGGATCGCAACCCTCGGTGTTGCTCCCTGCACCTCGCTCAGCCAGTGAGCGGGAACCGGTCTGTATGTGGGATCCGAACCCTCGGCGGGAGCGCCGCCGCGCTTCCCAAGCGGCGTACTGTAGCAGTGCGCCACCGGGCCGGCCAAAAGACATTGATTTTTGTAATAAATAGAATATCACAATAAGAGAAGCTTCAGTTGGTATGATTTCTAGTATAGGCATATGATATTGGGACATAAACTTAAAGCAAAGTGTGAGATACTCTTTAGATTTAATTAAACATTATGTACCTATTTACTTTTGTAATGTTTATGGACTTATTAGTAGAAAGTATTGATATATTTATAATATTTGGTGTTTTGGGCAAAAGAATATAATCTAATATGGGTACTGTGGTTTGTTTTTGGTTATATCCCTAGTTGCCTAACAATGCAACTGTATAATTGTAGGTGATCAAGAAATTTCTTGACAGTTGAATAATGAAGTGGGTATTTAGATTCTCTCTTAGATTCAGGCATCTTGTTTGGGGACATCTAACATTGTGTGAATGATCTTCCTTGGGTCTTTTCTCTATAAAGCCATTGCCCCTTGAAAAATGAATACCAGAGTTGTTTGTAATACTATACTTTTATAAATATTCATTACTGTAATTCAGGTGATTATAATATTAAACATGTCAAAAATAAAGATAAATATATAACTAACATTTCAGAGTCACATTTGGAAAAAACATTAACCAATTACAGTTTGGTTTATTAATTGTATATTGTCAGGTTATTTTAATCACCTAAGAAAATAAAAATTAAGGATTCATTTAGGAGATAAAATAGTTAACAGTGCTTCTCAAATGTTTAATTGGAACTTCTCTAATGTGGGTATATTATGGAGGTGAAGAAATACCTTTAGAATTATTAAAGTATAACAATTTAAAAAATTGGTTTAATTAGTAATTAATAAAATTAACATATTGACTAGTTGGTTTTTAGGTAAAATAAAATAGAGTATAGCTTTAATGTTTTTCTAAATGTAAAATGTGAAGAAATCTTTTTTTTTCCTTCATAGGATGTTTTGTATACTGTATGCAACCCTGTTGGAAAAGTGCAACGGATTGTTATATTCAAGAGGAATGGGATACAAGCAATGGTTGAATATCCTTTATTTGTAAATATTTTTTGATATGTATGAATGCTGTATAATTCATATGGATCTTAGTTTTTCCTCTTTAAGCATTTCTAGACAAGTGGTGTTTACTCTTTTCTCCTACAAAAATCTACTCAGCTTAGATTTTAAAAATGAAACTGCAGTACCGATACAGAATTTTACTATTTATAAGAATAACATATTACCATGAAACAGTTCACTACTTCATCTTACAGTGTAAAAATAACACTATTTGATAATAAACACTTATACCTTTTTGAACTTTATCCCAAATGAACTTTTCTGACTCTCCCTTTAAAATAGTTTGGAAGTATCAGAACTTCCGTCAGCGGAATCTTTCTTTCCTTTCTTTATTGAAACTTCTAAATGGTCATGGTTTATGTAAGAACTGCTTCTCTGTGTTAAATTTTTTATATGTTAAATAAAAAGAGCAGGTTGCAAAACAGTATACATAGTACAAGTAGTCCATTAAAAATTAATAATAATAATAAGAAAAAACCCTAATGAAAGAACCCTGACCTATCTGTGCATATGCATGCATTGGAAAAGTTAGGGATATATAGCAAACTCTTTAACAGTGCTTGCTTCTGGCAAGGTGTTTTTTGTTTTTTGTTTTTTTACTTTTTATACTTCTGTGAGTTGATTTTTTTTTTTCTATGTTATTATGGACTTAAACAATTCTTTAAAAAAAAAATAAAATTAAGATAGTTTAATGATTATAAAATACTGCCTTCTCAGAAATACATAAAAATTATATATTTGTTTTGTACTATTTTGGTTCTTTGTAATGTTCTTCCTTCTTTAAGAGTAAAATATTTCCTGTTTCAGGGTTGCAAGTTGTCCTTTACTAGGGAATGGGACCATGCTCTAATCCCCATCCCTCCCAATTTATAAAGTACTTCTGATGACTTAGAGGGATTGATGTATATAGTTTGGTTGTATTATGTTTTCTTTGGTTCCCTTGATCTTAAAAATAATTCTCCTACTAAAATTTACCTAGAAATTTGATTTGTTAAAACATTTCCAGAAGTGAAAGAGTTATTTCTGATTATATTTGGTCTTTTTCTTTGGGAATAAATAATGATTAAAAATCAGATACCTTGGGGCCGGCCCGGTGGCGCACTGCTGTAGTGCGCCGCTTGGGAAGTGTGGCGGCGCTCCCGCCGAGGGTTCAGATCCCACATGCAGACCGGTTCCCGCTCACTGGCTGAGCGAGGCGCGGGAACAACGCCGAGGGTTGCGATCCCGTTGCTGGTCCCGGTCCGGTACAGGGGCGACACTGAGGGTTGCGATCTGTTGCCGGACACGGAAAAAGACAAAAAAAAAAAAAAAAAATCAGATACCTTAAATCAGATTTCCTTAATAAAGCTTATGTTTGAATCAGTCCTTTGTGCCCAGAAAGCTAAAGCAGCACTCAATGGAGCAGATATATATGCTGGATGTTGCACACTAAAGATTGAATATGCAAGGGTAAATATTTTTTTCAACACTTTACCAAAGAAATATTTATGCTTTGGATATATGATTTGAACTTACTTTATTTTCAATCCTAACAGCCAACTCGTCTAAATGTTATTAGGAATGACAATGACAGTTGGGACTACACTAAACCATATTTGGGAAGAAGAGGTAGGTATTTTATTTATTTTATAATGTACATGTATCTGCTGACAAATTTTAACATGCAGTTAGATTCCTTTTTCCTGAGATGAGCTAGTTAATTCAAATGAAAATCTTGTTGGTAAATGCTTTTGTTGCAAAAAGCCATGTAATGCTGGAAAATAACCTTGAACATTAGTGCCCCCTACTGGTATGTACTGAGCTATTTATATTTAGTTCAACAAGGAGCCCACACATGACAGGCACGCCCGCAGTTCAAGGACTTGCATTTCTCCAAGCAGCTCTCTCTCTTTGGAGGAGAGGAAACTGATTCAGAATATTCCTTACAAACTGCAAACTTGCACACTGCTTCTCTATGGAAAGGACTTTTCCCCCAAGCTGGACGAGGCATTAAGAAGGATAGAGGACTCCAACAGGCTGACTCTACACTTCATCATGCACAACATCGGCATCAACAAAAAGCCCTCTGAAAAACTCAGACTCGCAATTCACCTTGACTGCATACTGCATGCACCATCACCCCAAGTTTTTAAAGGAGGACACTTAACAGTACTTCAGACTTGCATGGGATGAACACCATGATAGACTGTGCCCATTTATTCAAGTTGTATGTATATATTGGTCTGATTTCCCTTAAAATTTCACTTGTAGATTTTAAGACTTTTCACTAACGGAATCTAGACTTTATCTACAATGTTGTAAATCTTAATGCCCATTATTGTAACTGTTTGCAGCTTAGACTCAAATTGTTAATTGGCAAATAACCAGGGCCGATTTATCTGCAGATCTTGGGAATTGATAATACTCAACCAATCCACACAGATATTAAAGATAAAAGGATTAGAAAGGTGCATACTTGTTGCACCTAAGTTTACTTTTTTTCCCCTCAATTGTGGACATTAAACAAATTCTAACGTAATGAAAAGGTGCATAATATGTAAAAAACATTTTTCTGTGTGGTTTGATTTTGTCAAGTGGCTGTTTATAAGTCATCACTTTTTGTAACAATTTAAGATTATCACTTATGTTAATTTCTGTAACTAGAAATTTTGACATTTCAAATGTAGGTGAGAGTAACGTGTGTTCAAGGTAGAATATATTTAAATTTGGTAAATCTGGAAATAAGCACATCTCATTTTGAGATGCATTTTCACCTATAACCTATAAAGGCTAGATTTCATGAGGATAGATTTGACTGATAAAATTGTTCAACTAACTGTGTGGCAATTCTGGAATATACAGATTAAAATGTGGATCTTGTAAAAACAAGGGGGCTGCAGTATTGGCTACATCTCAACTACAATATTGGTGTTTGGACCATGTATTGGAAAAACTCAAGATGAGTATGTCTGTGAAAGTTAATAACTAGAAAAAAATTTTATGACACCCAATGTCTTGAGCAGTGGGTCTATAGTGCATGTACTCTAGCAAAAGAAAAAATAAAAGATAATGCCGTGATCCTTTGCATGTTCATATATTTAGGATTTTGGAATGATTGGCTTTTAAAACTCTCAATTCCAAGAGATCATCTTACCTTATGCATGGGGTTGCAGATAGGTTTGTTTTGTAATGCAGTTTTGGCTAGACCCCACATTTTTCACTTTTTGCAGAAATCTGCTTGGTCTATTCTTGGTGCAGTTGAATCCAATATTAGAAAAAAAGCCTTAGTACTGAAACAACAGGACAAGTGGCTGATGAGAAATCTCTCACTTCTGTCAATTTATAGTCAGTAATAGAACATTCAGTTTTTTTTTTTTCCAACTCACTTGTAATATTGAGTTTTTGTTGCATTTTTCTTAATGTCTCTTAAGATATTTATAGGTATGCTTATTTTAACAGCATTTATATGTATTCTTTTGAAAGGTCTGAAGTTTACACAAAGCCAGCCTAGGTTAGTTTTTCATACAATTTGAACAGTTTAGAGATATGTAAGGTAGATATTTAATAGTGAAATAAATTTAAAGGAAGTAAAACAATTTATGCTTTCAAGGAAGAAATTCTTGTTTTCTGATTTCTTACGGAGAGATATTTATCTGGCAAGACTATAGTAGTTGACGTTTTTCTTTCTGTAGTGATCTTAGCTTGCACTAAAGTAGGTATATACTATTCTATTAGCTGCTATCTCCCAAATAAAGACCTCCCTGCAACTTTTTCTACCAAAAAAAGAGCCCTTTTAAAAACATAACTGCATTTTAAAAGGTCCTATTCAGCACTAATTACATTTTAGCGCAAAGAATCCTTAGCTTCTGGATTCTAGACTCTGGGGAACCCCTCCTGAAATGTTAAGCAAAACTCGTATATATGTGCATCTTTTTGGGGAGAAGTTCCACAACTTCTATCCGATTTCCTTGGAATCTATGAAAAATTGCAAACCACTATTTAGAGATGATATATTCAGTGTTTGACTTTTCTACTCACTTCTTCTGTTTTATGTGACCTTATATAAGGTAGTGAATGCTTCAGATAAATTATTAATAATGACAGTGTTTGGCTGAAAGATACCTTGGAGATCATCTACTCTAACTCCTTCATTTTATGAATGAAGATTGTGAGTTTCTGTAACTATACAGCTAATTAACAGTTAAGTTGGAATCTTCTGATTCCCAACCTGGTTTCTCTTTCCTTTGTAGCACACTGTTAAAAATATCAATAAAACTGAGCCGTGAATGGGCCGGCTCGTGGCTCACTCGGGAGAGTGTGGTGCTGATAACACCAAGGCCCCGGGTTTGGATCCCATATAGGGATGGCCAATTCGCTCACTGGCTGAGCGTGGTGCTGACAACACCAAGTCAAGGGTTAAGATCCCCTTACCGGTCATCTTTTTAGGAAAAAAAAAAAAAAAAAAAAAAACCTGAGCCGTGAAGACATTATGGTGGTTTTGGTTTTAAGATTTCTAGATCAGACAAGGATTTAATTGTATTTAGTGTTTCATGGCATATACTTAAGCAGAGGAACATTAACAAAATGAATTAGCAGATTGGATGGATTCAAGAGGAGTGAGACTTAACTGATGAGAGATGTTGGAAACCTTGTAATAGAAAGAGGTAACTGTGAATGTTTAGAATGGAGGTGAAATGACTTTGGGGAAATGGGTGGAAGGTCATAGTAAGTTTTGAAGCATTTGGAAGAGTGCTTAAACAAAGACTAAGTCTGTGAGGCCCCAAATGGGGTAGAATATTGGTAGAGGATCAATTTCTATACAGTATAAAAATTTTTCTCATAAATTAGGACTGTCTGAAAATGTAAGAGAAGGTAGTAAGTATCTTGTTACTGCTTTTGGGTAAGCAGAGGCTAGATGGTAAAGAGAACTTTTACATTGAATAAAAATTGAACTAAAGACCTCCTCAGTCCCTTCAATGCTGTAACTTGGAATAGGTAACTAAAACTACACTTTTCTAGAATGAAGTGAAAATTAAAGTATTTCTCATCTCCCATAAACCTCATTTGTTTAGGTGACTAAGGATATATGGAAAGTCTCTCTGAATTTTCAAAGATTAGAATGACCAGTGTCTTAAGATACATATTAAAAAATCTTATTAGACACTATTATTTGATTGGCAAATTTTCTAAACTTATTGTACAATGATTTTTAAAATTTACTAACCAACATAGGTAGTGCAATTTTTGAAACCTACAAGTAATTTTTTAGTTAATTTCAAATTAGATTTGAGAAAATTGGCATGCCTTTCCTGAAAATGTAGCTAGAATAAAAATTATCCTTTAGAGTATTGTAGTATTCTCATCCAATAGTGTAGCCCCCTTGGTTAGCTTTATCTTGGCATATTTAAACTTGGGGGTTGCTCATAGTCCTGCCCGGTGTTAAGGTCTATAGACAAATGACCTAAACATGATATAATATGAGCCAGTGATGTGCAAATTTTCAAGTCAGTAGGTGTTTGTAAATATGTATATATACATATAAAATACTCTGTGTTTACTGATTGTGAAACCATGTAATACAGGTTGTTGTTGGCTTATGCTGAAACTTCTTGAAAGAAGCCCACTTTGAAAATGTGTTGCTGTTGAAGCTAATAGTATGATTCAGGTACTGTCTTTCAAAAGTACTGCACTTAAAGCTTGTTTTAAAGACATGTATTGGTAAAAACTTCTGTACAGTGTCAAACTTTAGCATTGTGTATGTTCAGTTTCTGAAAAGTATTCATTCTTCCTTTAAAATTGAAAGCGTGATTGTATTGGCATTTGCCAGAAAGATATTTTCAAGTTAAGTGGAATTTGTTAGATAGAATTATTTTCTTAAACTTTTGGTGTTTGTATTTAAATTGGATATGAATGGATGTTTAAAGTTAACCAGGAATCATATTTCTTTTATGAATTGTAATGGATGTTTTGAATGGGTGTTTCCCATGTGAGTACTCTGTTAAGTACTTGGGTCAAAATTGTTAAAACCATGTTTCTACTTTTGTGTCAGATAGAGGAAAGGGTCGCCAGAGACAAGCGATTTTGGGAGAACACCCTTCTTCGTTTAGACATGATGGCTATGGTAAGTTTGTCAAGGCAGAAGGAAGGTAGTACAGATGAACTATTAGAATTTTTGCATTTCTGATGAAGAAAGGCACATTTCTTGTCTCTGTATTTTTCCTGCTCACCTGATTTGCCTTATATGGGCTCAGTCTCTTATAATGCACTCCTCAGGAGGTGTCCAAAATCCCTTGTTTTCTTATGGTATTGATATATCAAATAATCCTTGAGATAAATGAGAGCTATTGGCTGGGGATTGAAAACTTTTTTGCCATTCTGTTTTGTTTTGGTTTTGTTTTGTAATGGGCTCTGGCTAGTAAAAGGACCAAAAACCAGAACTAATGCTCAGTAAATGTATTTTCTTTCATTCCAGCAATTATGAGCAAAGAGGAATTTTGAGTAATAAAGGTGGAAAGAATGGGGTATTTGTCAAAAAGTTTCTGGTTAGACTCTTAGTGTTTAGTTCTACAGTTGGTATTTTGGTTTTGGTTAAGTTTGTTTGTATTTATTCCCCTTTTAAAACTTCTCAGCTTTTACTGTTTGCTCTATTGATATGTTATGATTCCGAAACTTAGAATAATAATCTTCCCCAGGAAAAAGTTAGGCTATTAGACTTTTGTTCTTGTAAGTAGATGTTGAGAATTGCTGTTGATAAGACTTTTGCTATAAATTGTTTTGAAATATTTTTTAGTTTTTAGTGGTAGTTATTGACCCTTTACCTATTCTGTGCTTTAAAGTTGAAGTATAATACTATTAGAAGTGTTAGAAAATAGAAATTGCTATATTGTACTCTTGGGTTTTATTGTCAGAAAGCTCCTGGTGTTGCCTATTGTCCTAAATGTTTTCAAATCGCCTAAGTATTTACTTTAATAACCATTCTTAACTATGAATTTTAGTTAATTCCCTATTGTCTTTTTTTAAAAAAATCTCCTCTGTGTGTGTGTGTGTGTATTTGTATTTGTTTGTTTCATAGTAATCTGTATGGCAGAAAAGATTGAAATGATTTGTTATGTCAAAACAGTAAGTGTGGTATAGAATGAAAAGCTTGCAATAGTCGTTTAGTTAGTGTTTTCCTTGACCATTTTTCTTAGTTCCTGTAAGAGAGTATGTATTAAATATGGTTGAATGGGTAGTTCTGATTCTGCAATAAAAAAACATTGGGAGCCTTTTATGCTTTGAGGGTTACAAAAACATTGCTAATTACAAGTTTATAATATAGTTCTGGAGTTAAATATGTCATGGCAGTCAGCTAAAGGCTGAAAACTGGTTAAATGTTTTGCCAAATGAGACTAGACAAATCTGATCTGTGAAATAATAAATGAAGGACAAGGAGCTCAACTGTAGTAGTGTTGAAACATTCTTAGTATAGGTTTTCAGATTTGCCTTCCTTTTATAAAATATATTTTACTGAAAAATTGTATTAACAAAAATATGTTATATGTCCTACGAGAACTTTTTATTTTAAAAAAGCCTCTTGTGAAGTTGTTTGACACTTTTGTGCCCTAATTTATTGTGTGGTGTATGTGTAAAGTTTAGTTTTAAATGTAAACTTATGTAAGGAGAAGTGCAAAATTCTTGGGAGTGACAGTTGTTAACTAGGGACCATTGAGGTTCTGGAGAATCCTGCTGAGGAGGAATGGTTGTGGTGGGGTTGTGTAGGGGTATCCATTCTGAGCAATGCTCATTAAGACTTTGAGGTTGATTAGCTCTGCTTTCCTAGGGAAGTAAGCAGAATGGAGTATAGCAAGACAGAGAGTGAATAAAAAGAGATGGGGAACTTAGATGAGAAAATGGGGGATAAAAGCAAAGAAGGTGGGAATGTATGCTAGTGATATTAAGCTTTTCGCAAATATTGCAAATTACAACTATCCTTTCACATCAACAGTTCAACAAAACAGGTTTATTTGTATTTTGGGGTGGGTTTTCCTGTGCGATGGTCTAGAAGGAAGAGGGAATAGAAAAAGTTAATTATGGGCCAGCCCGGTGGCTCACTGGAGAGTGCGCTGCTTGGGAGTGTGGCGGTGCTCTCGCCGAGGGTTCGGATCCCATGTGGAGCGGCGGATCCCACGTGGAGACCAGTTCCCGCTCACTGGCTGAGCGCGGTGCGGGCACAACACTGAGGGTTGCGAGCCCGTTGCCGGTCCTCGGTACGGGCGTGACACCGAGGGTTGCAATCCCGTTACCGGTCAGTAAAAAAGACAAAAAGGAAAAAAAAAAAAGTAAAATATTAAAAAAAAATAAAACAAAAAAAAAGAAAAAGTTAATTATGGTTTAGAATCCATAGATTCCATTAGATTAAATCTGTTTATTAATTTATTATACAAGTATAAAATTGATGCTAGTTGTCACAGTTCTTTAAAACTTAATGTGGAAGCCCAGCTGTATGAGGTGAACTGGTAGAAGCTCTCATACTTGGGGAAAAAATGAAAATAGAGATTTATTTGCTGTGAGCCCAAGAAAAGTATGTGTATTAATTGCTAGCATTTTGGGTTATAGTTCCTGGGCCAAGGATTTTAAAGTTTTAAAGAAGGGAGATGCCTTCAAAATGTTAATAGTGCCATTTACGTAGCTTTTTCCCATATAAGTGAATTTTTCAACTATATGAAGCATTAGTTTTTTACACACCAAAACTTCTTGTATTAACTATTTAGTATAGAAAGCTTTTAAAAGACTTAATTTTTAAAATCTTAAATAGTATAGCTAACAATTTAAATAGTATAGATAACAATTTAATCCTGATAGCTCAAAGTCATAATTACAAACATCACTTATTCTCTTGTCCTAATTTTCATTGTTACCTGGGGCAGTGGAGCTCAACATTTTTGGACCTTAGCCAACTTAAGCAGAGTGAGTTGCCACTGCCCATCTGCCTACCACATGTCTTTCCACTTCGCATGAAAATGAAAACTTAGTGATAATAGTGAAGTATCATTACTGTATAAGCAAATGGTAGTGATGGGGAGGCAGTATAATATGTATTTGTACTTTTGCAGTAGGGATAAGAATGATTGTTCTTTGAACATTGGTGTATGCATAACAGTCTAAATTAGAGGCCAACATATGTATAGTTACTAACAACTCACAATGAGCTATATTGATTGTTTTGATAAACTACCAATTATCAGTGAGAAGAGCAATTGAAAAACACACCAACTTACGGCAACACTGATGATGCATTAATAAAGTATTTCTTCCTAAAATTGCAGAGATTCACACTGTTTGCATGTGCTCAGTGCTAGTGTTACTCTGTTGTTATGAGTGGCAACTGTATTTAGAATACTGAAAATTGAAGTCTGCCATAATTTCTAATAGCATATTATGAATACATAAACTTATAAGCTCTTAGTACCTCACTTAGTAGATGACAGTTGTCCCTTAGTCCTACATAAAAATGAAAGTCAGTGGCATTACATACTCTTTACTTTTTGAGAAACAAGGAAAAGAATTGGGTTTTGGGTTTTTTTGGTTTTTTTTTTATTTAATTGCACATCAAGAGGACCTTTGCATGTGCCCCAGACTATGTTTCTGTAATCACTAACTCAGGAGCACCTGAGATGAGTAGGGTTTATGTTTCTGAGGTACATGTCTTCATCTCAGTTGCTGCTTCTGAATTCTTCTGCCTCTTTTTATTGCTGTAAATGTGCCCTAGGTCTACTTTTAGTATCATTTCATTTCTTTCCATTCCACATTCTAGCTTTATTTTTCTTGTTACATCTAATCTGTTATGGGGGGAAAACTAGATAAAGTTGTTTAGATTTACTGTAAACTTAGCAAGTTGATTCTTAATTAGGATTCTCTATGTAAGAGATGTAAGTGTGTGTGTTTCTGTGACAACACTTTTAGATACTCAGTCATTTCTTTCTGGTGGCAGAATAATAAGACACCTGTGTGTAGATGAGGTATTAACTAAACCTAGGGTTTTAGTTTCCTGAATTATAATTAGGGGAATAAAATACTAACCCCAAAGTACATTATAGTAAAATATATATATATTTTTTTGTCTTTTTTCCGTGTCCGGCAACGGATCGCAACCCTCAGTGTTGCCCCCGTACCGGACCGGGGACCGGCGACGGGATCGCAAGCCTTGGCGTTGCTCCCGCGCCTCACTCAGCCAGTGAGCGGGAGCCGGTCTGTACGTGGGATCCGAACCCTCGGACGGGAGCGCCGCCGCGCTTCCCAAGCGGCGCACTATCCAGTGCGCCACCGGGCCGGCCCTATAGTAAAATATTTTTAAGGAGACATCTTTTTTGGTGGAACTAAAGATATATATATATATTTTGTTATATCTGTATAGAGATAGCTTTCTAGATTTCACTGTATATTTTATTATATTATTTATTACTTCTCTAAATGACATTGGCAGGAGGTTTTTAAAAAAAATTTGAAGTGTAATTTATATGCAGTGGCCCAAAGTTTTACACTGGTCCCCCAAATCTTATATACTTTCTTGTTAAACTACTAGTTTTTAAAAATACAAACTTATAGCCTGGTTTATGCAGGTACAGGCCAATGTATATTGGATCTAGTATAAATAAATATAGATTTTATTAATTTCCCACAGGTTATATTTAAATATTCATACATTTGAGTTTTCTTTGGCTATACATCAAACTAGCTAATATTAAGAGTTTATTTTTCATGTGGTGAAGTGTATCTACTAAAGCATTTACAAATGGAACTATATGTACAAGTATGTGTTTTATTTATTTATTTATTTTGATCATTTCTATAGGATCTCATGGCCCATTATTGCCTTTACCAAGTCGTTACAGAATGGGCTCTCGAGATACACCTGAGCTTGTTGCCTATCCATTACCACAGGCTTCTTCCTCTTACATGCATGGAGGAAATCCATCTGGTTCAGTTGTAATGGTTAGTGGATTACATCAACTAAAAATGAATTGTTCAAGAGTCTTCAACCTATTCTGCTTATATGGAAATATTGAAAAGGTAAGTTTCACTTTTATTAGTTTCTTTTGTTAGGCTATCTAGTAGTAATTCTGAAAAGACTGCAAATATGTGTCTGCTCCCTGTATTAGGAACATCCAGATTCTTTTGGTAGTGACACACATAAGCTAAAAATCCATATGTAGGAACTCCAGAAATTTTTTGTTGGTGAGTGATAAGTGAAGGTTGTTGATATTAAAAAAATTTAAAAGTAATATAAAAAGCAGTTCTAAGTAGTAGTTTAATCAACTGCTAGAGTATTATAGACATAAAGCCTATATTTTTGATTATTTCAAAGAGATTCTAGCATTTGACATGTTGAACTGTAGAATTTGAAAGACTTTACCTTCATGGAGTGAGGTATACATGATCATGTCTCAGGGCTTGGTCAGAAGTTGTGAATTTTAGGAGAGTTCTAGGATTTATATACTTGCCTCCCAAATGCTAGTGTTCTAGATTCTAGTATTGTCTGAGGAACGATGTGCTTTTAAGCTCAATCGGTATTTGAAACTGACCCACTTTGATAAATCAGTGTGTTCAAATCTTTCTGTCTAGAGGCTTAAACTCCAAAAAGTAGCAAAACTAAAATTGAAGGCCTTTAAGAGTTACAACTTTATTTTCACCTAGTAACACTGTGTTTTTCTCCAAATCTGTGACATTTTGTTCATTGATATCTCACAAATACTTAGAAAAGTGCCTGACATAAAGTAGGTACTAACTTATATTTGGAAGAATCATAGAAAATTTAACTGGGGAAATGAATGGGAGTCAAATTACTTATGTTTGATATACTCACTAATTTGAATTTCAATACGGGAGTAATGTTATTTTACCCTGTTATTTTAAGTGATTTTAGTATTCTTTTCACAACAATATGAAAGTACAAGCATGTGAGTCACAAGTGGGGGGGGGCATTGTTTGAAAAGTTGGTATTCTTAGTTCTTAGCTCATTAATTCTTAAGCCTGCTTAATCTGAGGAAACAACTCTTCTGAATTCTGAAACATGTTTGCTTAACTATTTGATCACACTAAAAGAAAAAAGAAAGAAAACTCCACATTTGATTGGGGATGTGATAATGAGATATTTCTGTTTATATAACTAGCCCTGGGATAGATTTAGCAACATTAGGAAAAGAATTTCAGGGTTTTTTCTCATAATTATTTAGACCCAGGTATTTAGTTAAAGCTTTAGGAACTCCATGTTTGATAACTAAATGGGCTTTAATGTATATTTTAACTTTCTTTACATAGTGTTACTTTTCTGTTTGTGCTTTTCACATATGTAGACAACCAGAATTAGGCAGTTTAATCAACATCTTTAGTAGCTCTTTGTCTTTTGCGTTATGAACTAATTGTCTCATGATTTAGAAAATCAAATCACTTTTTCTAATAAAACTTAAGTTTTCTGTATGTTATTTGACTAATTCTAATCCCTTTCATTCCATATCTTCTCAAAAGTTTTTAAACATTTATGATGATACATTATGATACATTAAATTCAAGCCATCATAATCTTTAAAGATCTCTATATAGTTCATTTTTCCTAACTTCTTTTTAGAGATTTACCCCAGTATAAGAACTATATGTTTAGCAAATATATTTAGTTACTATTAGACTTTTAGTATGTTATTGGATTTAGTCAAGAGAGAGAGAAATTTTGCCCACAAGAAGACAAGTGATTTCACAGAAAGCTGAAAAATCTTGCTACAACTGAGTTTTGTTCAAGTACAAGTGTAATATAAAAATGCTAGGATATTCCATTAAAATTGATAGTTTAAGCGATGGAAATAAATGCCATGTTGCATTTGTTGTGCAAATACTTTCTCAGTATTTCTTTGAGATTGACAGATAAGAAAGAAGTATGAGGTGTCATGTATGTTAGTGGTACTTAATAGCTATTTATGGACTTTCCAAGGGCTGGGCACTGTGCTGAATGATTATCATACTTTATCCCATCTAACTCTTACAGCATTACATATTAAAATTAGCATAATATGAGAGGATAAGTATGGCCTCTGCCCAAGATGTCATGAAAACTTGTATTTATTTTTTAAATTGCCCCTATGTTGCACAAGCCTTCCTACTGACCATACTATTTCAAGGTGATTTTGTATTATTTCTTACACAGCATCTTGTTTATTGCCTTAACAGAACTCTGTACAGTTCATAATTATTATTTGTTTACTTTTAAATTTCTGACCTACCTACTAGAATATAAGATTCAAGAAGATAATGTCAGTTATGTTCACCATTAAATCCCCAGTATCTAGCACAGTGCTTATCAAAATATATTAGATATCTATTAAATATTTGTTGAATGAATAACTATTGATGAGTCCTGCCAGATGTTATCATTATCTCCATTTTATAGGGATGGTCCATGTCTCAGAGAAGTTAAGTAAATTGTCCCCAAATCACATGGTTAATAAGTAACAGAGCCAGGATAAGTCTGTGCTCTTCTTCAATGTGCTATACAATAGAATTATAGTCTTCCTTTTTAACTTTATTGAATTTTGGTAAGTATTAAGGGTATCTCATAACACAGCAGAATGAAGTTAAGATTCTAGGTGTAATCTTTTGTTTTTGACTTTAACACCACTTAGATCATACTGTTTTTCAAAAATTTTGCTACTGTGAAAGGGAATTAAATGGTGAACTTTTTTTGATTTTGTATTTACAGGTAAAATTTATGAAGACCATTCCTGGCACAGCACTGGTAGAAATGGGTGATGAATATGCTGTAGAAAGAGCTGTCACACACCTTAATAATGTCAAATTATTTGGGAAAAGACTTAATGTTTGGTAATTATTTATCTCAAATGATAAATTCTAAAAGTATTTCAAAATCATTGTCTTTTTTATTAGAGACATTAATTTCAACTTCAGAATATTTTAATGTAACTGAGGGCACATCTGAAACTAGGTATCTGTAGAATTGTCATTTTACGCAAGTTTTAAGGTCCTAATGAAATTCAGATTTTGCTTATCTGTACCTATTTTTAGTTTCATGGTTATAAAACTGCATGTTAAAATGGGCAAATATTTATGTTAACATTTTCTGATATGAGAATGTATTGAACAGATTTTCTAATCGATGCCTAAACTATAAGAGGGATTGATCATTAAGCAAAATATGTTAGCATTTGAGACTATTTGCTGCTTTTTATCTAACAAGGTATGTTCTGTATGTTTTTCCTTTCCAATCTTCAGTGTGTCTAAACAACATTCAGTTGTTCCAAGTCAAATATTTGAGCTGGAGGATGGCACAAGTAGCTACAAAGATTTTGCAATGAGCAAAAATAATCGCTTTACAAGTGCTGGCCAAGCGTCTAAGAATATAATCCAGCCACCCTCTTGTGTGCTGCATTATTATAATGTTCCATTGTGTGTCACAGAAGAGACCTTCACAAAGGTAGGCATTGAAATGTAAATGTGTGTAGAGTGTTGCCATTTCCTATTATAAAATAATTTTAGCCTCATTTTGAAGTTGTCTCGCTTTGTCTTCTGCTTTTGATGTTATTAGTATTTTGTTATTTGTTTGGTCCTTTGTAGTTATTTCTTTGACCATTGTACTTTGCTGGCCTCCATTCTTCAGTGGTCTTTTGTTGGTTTATGGTTCAGTCCTTTTGAGAGTTGGAATTAGAATGATACCCTTACTCCTATATTCAGAAAGCTATTTTACCACCCCCTTAAATCTCACTCATAACAAAATTTTATGTATCCCTTTTTACCTAACTGTAGGAAATGTTTCAGGAAAAAACTGATTTTCTAGAACACTACTCCCTTACCTTAGGTACTAAATAAATCCTGGTCAGCCCTGAGAATATATATTTTTGTTAAAAATCTGTGGTTTTATTGTATAGCACTAAGTTATCTACATAGATTATAGAATTTTACTATTTTTTATTTTTTTTAAAGATGACTGGTAAGGGGATCTTAACCCTTGGCTTGGTGTTGTCAGCACCACGCTCAGCCATCGAGCTAACCAGCCATCTCTATATAGAATCCAAACCTGTGGCCTTGGTGTTATCAGCACCACACTCTCCCAAGTGAGCCACGGGCCGGCCGGCCCAGAATTTTACTATTTTTAATTGATTTTCCTCATATAGCTTGATAGTAAACTAAAACATTTGATTTAATTCATTCATACCAGACTCAAATGCTGCCATTAAGTTTACTTTTTACCAAAAAAAAAAAAAAAAAAAAAAAAAGGTGGGAATATTATTTTGGCCATAGTTTTAATGAAATTTCACCTTTCTTTGGCAGTTGTGTAATGACCATGAAGTTCTTACATTCATCAAATATAAAGTGTTTGATGCAAAACGTAAGTGAACATTCCCTCTTTTAAAGTTATCTTATTAAATGGATGACAAGCAAATAACAACTGGGTTTGTGTGTCTTTGTTTTGTTTTAGCTTCTGCCAAAACACTTTCTGGGCTATTAGAATGGGAATGCAAAACTGATGCAGTAGAAGCCCTTACAGCACTTAATCACTACCAGATAAGAGTCCCAAGTAAGTAAATGTTTTATTTGTGTCATAATTATTCAGTGGGAGTTACCTTCAGAAACACTGACAATAATTTTAAAGTAATGCTTATTAGTTTTTTTTAAATACAGAGAAAAATAAAGAAAAAAAACTGCATATAATTCTACAACCCACATTAATCCCTGTATTAGTAATCTGTTGCGTGTAACAAATTATCATAAAATTTAGCATCTTAAAACAGCAAACCTTTATTATCTTACTGTATTCGAAGGTCAGTAATTTGGAGGCAATTCAGCTGGGTGGTTCTGGCTCTGGATCTCTCATGAGGTTGCAGTCATCTCAAGGCTTGACTGGGGCTGGAAAATCCCCTTCCTAGCTCACTTGTGGTTGTTTGCAGGCCCAGTTAAGCCACATTGGTGTTTTTGTGGTAGAAATAAGAGCAACAGTGTTTTTTATAACCTAATATTGGAAGTGATACACCATCACTTACATTGTATTCTTTTGGTCACACAGACCAACTGTAGTACAGTGTAAGAAGGAACAATACATGGATGTGAATACCAGGAAAGTAGGGATCATTGGGGTCATCTTGGAGTCTGGATTCCACAATCCTTGTTGATCATTTTAGAGGAAAGCAATAAATGTGTGTATGGTTAGAAAATTCAAAAAAGTACATAAAGGTACAAAGTGAAAAGTTAAAGCTTTCTACAACCTTTAACCTTTTTTGTCTCCTACTTTCTTCCCTCTATGTTTGTGTGCATACATTTTTAAAACTTAGAATGGTTCTTCTATGCATACTTCTTTATCTTTTTTCTTTTTTTCTTTTTAGAGCATTTTCAAAGTAGCTATTCCTAACAGAGATGTACCACAGTTTTATTTACCCATCTCTGCACTGATGAGCATTCTGGTTGTTTCTGTTTGCTCTTTTCTATTTTTGCAATAAACATCCTTATAGTTATACTTTTTTTTTTTTTTTTCCTTTTTGTCTTTTTTCGTGTCCGGCAACGGATCACAACCCTCAGTGTCGCGCCCGTACCGGACCAGGACTGGCAACGGGATCGCAACCCTCAGTGTTGCACCCGCACCTCGCTCAGCCAGTGAGCGGGAACCGGTCTGTATGTGGGATCCAAACCCTCGGCGGGAGTGCCGCTGCGCTCCCAAGCGGCGCACTGTAGCAGTGCGCCACCGGGCCGGCCCTATAGTTATACTTTTTAAGTATACTTTAATGTATAATGTAAACATCCTTATAGTTGCGCTTTTTAATGGATCCTAATAGTAAGGGCATAAAGCTTTACATTTTGGTAAAATGTTGCTGAATTCCCCTTTAGAAAGGTTGTACTAGTTTACATTGCCATCTGTAGTATGTGAAAATGCCCATTGCCTAACACTCTTAGCAACACTGAATGTTGTCACATCTTCAATTTTTACCAATATGATAGATGAACGATGGTATTCTATTGTTTTAATTTGTATAAAGTGAAATTATCACCTTCTTTGTGTATTGTCTTTATTATGGTAAATGGCCTCTTTTTTTTTTTAACCTGTACAAAGAACACTCAGATTTAACTTTTAAAACTTTGTGCTTTATAATTTATTTTGATCCTGTATCTAAAGGGTACTGAAACTTAATTTTTTAAATAGTAGCAGAAAAATTATTATTTTATTGAGTGTGGTGATAAATGGTGGTTAAGAAGAAAGAGAAAAATACACACTGAAGGATTTATGAGTGGAATAACATATCTAGAATTTGCTTTAAAATATTCTAGGCCCCCAAATGCATGAAATAAGACTGCTAAATGTTGACAGTTATTAAAGCTGGGTGTTAGGTATGTGAGGATTCATCAAACTAGTCTATATTTTAATGTATGTTTAAAAATTTCCTTAATAAACTCAAAGAATAAATAAGAGGAGTATCTCCTCTCATTTTACATTTTGTCACAAAGTAAATTTTAAGTAGTGAGTCAGGCTTAATTTTTAATGTTTTAAAAGGCTTGAAAGTTATGTAAGGTATATTCAAGATAGTGTATGGATTGTAAACTCGTTGGAGACAGGTACAATTATTTATTTTTTTATCCTCTGCAGTGTCTTGCAAATACTTGTTAATGTATATGCTTTTTCCCATCTAGGAATTTTTTTCCCTAAAGGAAGATACCAGAATTGGTTTTTTGCTTTGATTTCTTTTCTTTTTTTTTTTTTTCTGTCTTTTTCCGTGTCCGGCAACGGATCGCAACCCTCAGTGTCGCCCCCGTACCGGACCGGGACCGGCAACGGGATCGCAACCCTTGGTGTTGTTCCCGCGCCTCGCTCAGCCAGTGAGCGGGAACCGGTCTGCATGTGGGATCCGAACCCTCGGCGGGAGCGCCGCCGCGCTTCCCAAGCGGCGCACTATTGCAGTGCGCCACTGGGCCGGCCCCTGATTTCTTATATAAGCTACTGATTAAGAGTTATTTCTGCTTGGTCTTAAAAATTAAAGAAAAACTTATAAAATAGGAATATTTTTGCAGATTTACCCAAAATTTTTTGAGTAATTTCAGAGCTTATATACCCCATGGATGACCAGAGATTTAATACTAGTTCTCATGGAACATTTTGGGATTATAGATATCTTCATGTACATTCCCAGTTTTGCTCCACTTCCCAACCTGTATTTCAATTGGCTTTTATACAGAGTTACCATTGGCAATATTTTCTGCAAATTGAGCTTTGCTGATAGACATATGCTTAATCCTAAAACTATTTATCTTTAATGATTAATTAATTCACTAAAAAAATGTTGAGTACTTCTGTTTGCCAGATATCATTTAGAAAAGTAGGAATGTAGCAATGAAGAAAGTCCCTGCCCTCATGGAGCTTACGTTTTAGTAAATATGAACAAAAGTAATCTTCCCCTTATCTTACATAGAAATTTTCCTTCTTCATATTCCTGCTTCTAGTATTATAAAAAGGTGAAATAATTTACTCTGGCAATTCAAGGTGATCTTGAAAGTTTGTTGAAATGTAGACTATTAACTTTGTTTTTTAATTTTTGCAGATGGTTCCAATCCCTATACATTGAAGCTTTGCTTTTCTACATCGTCCCATTTATAAGAAGAGAAGAGCATGTTAGAATTTATGTTCACCTTTATTACAATTTTAAAGCTACACTTCATTTAAAATAATCAAATGGTTGATCTAATGTTGCCTTGCTTACTTTAAGATCCTGTTCTGTAGTAAACATATTTTGCCTTGAGTAAATTTGTTGTAAACTTAAATATTGAATTGTTTTCATTTTAAGATATAGTATCTTAATGTAGACTATCTACATCTTTGTTGTAGATTATTCAAATATATGATTTCTAACCTTATTACTATAATTTTTCTTCCATAGTAAACATATATTTGCATTCTTAATGCTAATTATCTGCAAGTATTTTTCCATTGTGTATGAGATTAATGCAGGTGAAAGTATTGCATTTTAATATTATAGAATTCCTATTATGTTTAGATGTTTAAGTATGTTACCATAACTCATATTAAACATAACTTATATTTATTATTTTAATCAAATTTGAGAATAACATTGCACATGTTGAATTTTAAGTACTACAAATTTAGCTGATTTTATATTTCTGAAAGGCTAAGAGACATATGGATACATTTGTACAGTATGCACTCAAACTTATTTAAATTGGTGTATTTTGTTTTAAGTCATTGTTCATTTGTATTGACATGCCTCTGTTTCTAGTTCCAGTTTGGAGATTTTATAAAGTTATAGCAATGGGTTAATGTGTTCATTCTTATTTGTTGCATGTGACTTAATCTTGAAAATACATCTGATATTTGGCACTGAGATTTCAATAGAAGTTATGATTAACAGTTCTTCTTCTAGGTAATAGTCTGGGATCCATGGATGGACTTTAGAGAGTCTGTGAACCCCCTAAAATTGTATGTAGAATTTTGGGTATTTGCTTTTTTTTAAAATTCTTGGATCCGTCAGTAATATATGTATTTTTCTATATGGTACATGATTTAAGGATCTAATTTTATTTTTATTCTAATCAGATGGGTTGTCTCAGCACCATTTATTAAACATTCTTTCACTGGATCTGTTTTTTTTATTTGAAAATAATATATCTCATATGTAGGCAAGTAAAATTTAAGGACTAAACATGGTATTAAGAGACTATAGCACACTTATCAAGTTCACAGCTTTTTTATAATAGAAAACTGATGTAGCCATTTTATTTTCATCTTTAAAAGAAGAGAGAATACGTGTCACCTACCTAGAATAACTGTGAAGTCCATAGTTGGCAATAGCAGTTTTGTGATCTTGAGACTTCTAAACAAATTTGCAAATAGAAGTTCCATGTAGATCTTCTGTAAGGACTTTATTTTGAATTTTAATGTTTAAACAATTAATCCTTTTAGGAATGAGGCATGGGTTTTAAAAAATTTAAGAACTGTTGAATAGAGAATTTAGATGGAAACTAAACACACATGAACATTTATTTCTCCTTGAATTTTGATGGCAGTGGACCAGTATTTCTTTAGCCTTCTAAAAATCTAGAAAAATTTAAATTCAATCTAGAAGTATTTTATTTTATTTTATTTTTTCCCTTTTTGTCTTTTTTCGTGACCGGCAACGGATCGCAACCCTCAGTGTCGCGCCCGTACTGGACCGGGACCGGCAACGGGATTGCAACCCTCGGTGTTGCTCCCGCATCTCGCTCAGCCAGTGAGCGGGAACCTGTCTGTATGTGGGATCCGAACCCTCGGCGGGAGCGCCGCCGCACTTCCCAACCAGCGCACTGTAGCAGTGCGCCACCGGGCCAGCCCCAATCTAGAAGTATTTTAGATCCCTATCATGGAACCCATTAAGTTATGCCAAGGATAACTTATTTGTGAATTATAAATGTATGATACAGGGCTATGTATTATGTTCCTTGTTCATTGCCAATTTAATACCTAAGTTTAGCTGACTTTACAATAAGCAAAGCTTTTTTTCTCTTATAAATACTTTTCTACCTTTGCAAAATTGAAATGTCTTGATCTTGAAAGATAACTTGTGGGCTTATGTAATAGTTGTCTCCTTCCCTTCCCCTCTTCTGAAACTAATATGGGTCATCAGTGTTGTAGATTTTTTTTGTGCCTAAGATTTTAGGAAATAAACCTATGAATACTGTCGGGGCTTACTTCAGATTTGTTTTAAGTGGTATTGACTTTAGAAAAAAAAAAATGATTTGGTGGCTGGCCTGTATGGGGATCTGAGCCCATGACCTTGGTGTTGTAAGGCTGTGCTCTGACTTTCAGTTATAATCTCTATCTTTAGTACTCTCTCCCCACCAAAGTAAATTCTTTAGGAGTAAGCTAATTGGTAAGTTGGGCCTTGCTGATATGTGTACTGGTGTGTAAGCCCTGTACTGCTGCTGTCACTAATGTCTTTCATAGATTACTTGGGCATCACTGTCATTAATGGAGTTTGCTTTATGAACACTGCTGCTTTTGTTAGCCTTGACAACAATGTTCTTCCCTGTGCTATCTTTCTGCTTTTAGGAGAATGTGAAAGAGCAGGTTTTAGAGCTGTAAAGAAATAATACTAGCTTTGAATTTTTTTTTAATATTGAAATTCAAATCCCATTGTATATTTGATAATATATCTGCCAAACTGAATTATGGAAGATGAGCTGCCTTTTTAAATACCCACTCTCCTGTTGAGGGTGTAACCCTACCAAATAAAAAGAAATTGCAACTGCAGCTGATATGAGACTTTGCAGCATGGTAGTGATTTGGTTATCTAAACTATATATTTTCTGGAACAGAACTAAGAGAAGAGGAAAAAAATGACTAGAAGTGCTCAGTTATGTTTCATGTTTTCTTTATATTGCTATTTGCAGGGTCAGATAGGTTGCTAGGTAAATGCTTTTTAGTAGCTATTAGTGATACTCTATTTCTTTCTAGAATAAAGAAATTTTGAGTATAGAACTTTCTTCCATAATTAGGAATCTAACTCACAAGGAGCTTTTCTTTACTTAAAAAGTTCCGCAGGTGACAGAGGTTTTTGTGGGAAAGATAACTGCAATAACCTTCCTATCTCATATGGCTGTTTGGCTCAAGAGACTTTTATGCCATTGAGGGTCCATGTGAAGAGTAGGAAGTCTTTTATCATAGTATGCTGGTCTGCTCGTAGAGTTAAGCCTTAAAAAACAAGTGTGACATTAGATGAAACAAAAAATTAAGGTTTGTAGGTCCTATCCCTCCACATGTTTTATTCCTTCAGAATTTTTTTTTTACTGTGGTGATTTCTAGTGTCAACCAAAAAGTAAGTGAACGTGCAAACATGATTCCTGTTTAAGCCAAAGAAGTTATTTGGGATTTTAAATCTAGTGGGTATTTACCCTGATGTCATTGCTTTTTCCTAAAACCTAGCATTTCCACCAGATGGATTCAGGTGTTGATTAAACCCTAATGTGTTGTTGTTTAGCTAATCACCTTTCTAGGGATCTCAGTTGTAACATGCTTTGAACTTGAGCAAATATAATGGACTTTGCTTTACTAGTAAATTTTGCTTCATCTGAGGGAACACTTGAAATTATGATGAGGAATTTAGTAATGGTGGATATTGTTATTTCTCCATCCTTCATTCCACCCTTGATTTTGTAGCAGTAATCAAGGTTTCAGTGAGCCTGATTAACTTAGTTCCATTGTCTTTAGCTCAATGGCTCTTAAGAAAGGAGGTGCGACATCCTAGGGTGGCATTTTGATAATTTGTAGGGGTATTTTTTCAGTGTTTGGGGGACACCAGGAACATTTGATGGGCTGGCACTAAGAAGAATTATCCCTTGTCCTACTTGACTTTCCATTATCCCATCAGATATTCATATAGGTACAGAACCTATTTATAACGATCTGATCCTAGAATCTAACTCTGTTCTGTATATATAAACAACATATTTTTGTGTGGTTTTAATATACAGTACACCGAATTTTGTAGTAATGTAACCTTATAAATCAAGGAAAATGGATTGTTTTGTTTGCAATGTTTCCAAGAGTTCATTTTGGAAAATTATGTCATTGAAGTGGTATTGGAGTTGCCATTACAGCACACTAGGGTCAGTTTTCATTTGTTGCTGTCACATTCAGTACTTTGTCTTCCGTTGTAGCCACACTTGAACATTTATGTATCACAACATACATTTATTATAAATTTATTTCTCCCTTATGTTACAATTAGAGTTTTGTTTTTTCTTCAAATTGTGTGTGTGTGTGTGTGTGTGTGTGTGTGTGTGTCTGGTCATGTGTGTGTCTGTGTATAGGTAGGTAGGTATTATCTAGGAATTTTATATCAGCATTATAAAAAGGTATCAGATTGGGTCGGGAATGATTGTTTTAAACAAGGCAATCTGGTTCTGCATTAAACAGGTAATCCTGGTTGATTCGGAGAGTGAACCCTAGGTTTTGTTGAAGAATGGATGAGATGTTCTCCCTAAGGAGTGTGGTCTGCATGTATAAAGTTAGGCCTGGTACTAAAAGGACCCTGCATGAGACTTGAGCATGTGGAAACCATCTTGAGCATAGTCTAATTTGATCATCTTGTGCTCAGTACACCCCTGTCTTCAGAGTTGTCTTTTTAGTTTGAAACCACAACTCTATATTTTAAAGATCTCTAGTTGCCTAGGTCTCACTTTTAACTAGCAGTTTATTCTAATATATGAAGAACGCACAATTGAATGAAAGAAAGCACTGAGAACTGTTTGTTAGAGGGCCCTATTTTAAACTTGAAATATCTTAGTCTTTTTCCAGTCGTAGACCTATAGCCCATCTTACTGTTTTTAAAATTTTTTTGTCATACATGCTAGCATAAAGTTTAAATTTAGGTGTGATATTTCAGGGCACTCCTATATTGAAAGTATCAACTGTAAATTTGTTAATGAATTTCTTTTTAGGGTCTTAAAAATTTAATTGGCAAAAATTATATATATGGCATACTTCATGATGTTTTGATATGTATGCACCATGGAATGGCTTAAATCAAGCTAATTAACCTCACCATTACTTCACATACTTATTTTTTTTGTGATACTTATTTTAGAAAAGAAGTTTATAGTTCTGGAAGCTGGGAAGTCCAAGAGCATGGTGTTGACATCTGGTGAGGGCCTTCTTGCTGTGTCAGCACATGGTGAGAGTAGTGGAAGAGCATGCCAGCTCAGGTCTCCCTTCCCTCTTCTTATAAAGCCACCAGTCCCATCATGGAGGCCCCGCCCTGATGACCCTATCTAATTCTAATTACCTCCCAACGGCCCCACTTCCAAACACTATGAACATATGAATTTGGGGGTTAAGTTTCCAACACATGAAATTTGGAGGACACATTCAAAACATAGCAGTACCTTAAGTCCTTTAAGTTATATAAAACTTAATTGAACTAAAGTAAAAGCATGGAATTAGTGGCAATTCCTGATTTGGAAACTTAGACCTTCCTTGCGGTTGTGATACAGTAATCAGTTTGGCTAAACTACTGAACAGCCTGACATGTTTGCTTTGAGTCAATCTGATGATTTGGTTATTTCCATTTTTTTTTTTTTCCTCCCCAGTAATACCAAGAGAAATTAAGAAGCAATATTAATTCTTTCTTGGTAGCAGTCACGGTTTATTGAGAACCTGGAAAATAAAGCAGTAAATGGCCTGGAAGATTATGATTGTTATCATAGTTTTATTAGGTAACTGAATACCAGAGGGATAGCTTTGGAGCTGTGAAACTTGATTAGACTTTATGATTGTGAAACTTA